GAGGAGGAGGAGGAGAAGAAAGGGGGGGGCATGGTCTTAATTTAAATTAATACAGACCTCTTGGAGTCGGGTAAGGGCAGGGTAGGATGACTGAGCGCTATTTCTTACTTTAGGCCTGATGTACCTTTTTCATCAGCTCACGTTTCTGTCCCTGGTACAGCTATATTATAAGCGAGAAATTATATATAACATGATTATACAAGCTCGTTCGGCAGAAATTAGTGGGGCTTATTGTTTTGAAAATACATGAATGCATGTGTTTGCTTAAAATGGCTAACATTGAGGTTATAAAGGGCCTTAGGTCCAGCAGGTTTTAGAGCAGCTATAAGAGGCATGGCAACTCACAAAAGAAACATACATGACATCTTTTATTGTTCTCATAATCAATATCAAAATACGCAAGTGTATAAAATAACATTATCGTTTTTGTGATGATGATGACGAAATAATAATAGTGGGCTAATAGTAATGACTATAATAATAATAGTACTAATATCGATGATAATAATCATTTTAATAATAATAATAATAATAATAATCATAATAATAATAATAATAAGAAGAAGAAGAAGAAGAAGAAGAAGAAGAAGAAGAAGAAGAAGAAGAAGAAGAAGAAGAAGAAGAACTTTTTTAATTTTTAAAATTTTTATTATAATAATAATAAAAATGATAAAAATAATAATAATGATAATAATAATAATAATAATAATAATAATAATAATAATAATAATAATAATAATAATAATAATAATAATAATAATAATGCGGCGTTGCTGGCCTAATGGTTAGGCTACCGGACTCGTAATCCTGAGGTTGCGGGGTCGGGGGTTCGGGCGCGGGCCCGCCGTTGTGTCCTTGGGAAAGGCACTTTACACGAATTTTCCTCACTTAACCCAGGTGGAAATGGGTACCCGGCGTACCCGGCCATAGACAGAGAAATACCTAGTCAGTATGTTAGAGTTTTAGAGCCTACAAATGACTGCTTGCACTGTATGCTTCTCAGGAAGTTGAGTAGTTGATTTGTTTCAGAATGCTTTCAGGTCTGCTGGGGTAATAGTATGCATTGTGAAGCGCATGATGCTTGCCGTTGAGCGGGGCTTTGCGCTATACAAATGCTATCTTTGATGATGATGATGATGATGATGATGGTGATGATGATGATGATGATGATGATGATGATGATGATGATGATGATGATGAAAATGATAATGATGATATTGATAGCAAAATAACAACAATAATAATAATAATAACAGTAATAATAATAATAATAATAATAATAATAATAATAATAATTTAAAAAAATAAATAAATAATAATAATAATAATAATAATACTAATAATAATAATAGTGATGATGACAATAATGGGAAAATGGTGATGAAAATGATAATGATGATGATTATAATGACAACAACAACAATAATAATAATTACTATTATTATATACTTCACTAATATTATTATTATTATTATTATTATTATTATTATTATTATTATTATTATTATTATTATTATTATTATTATTATTATTATTATTATTATTATTATTATTATTAATTACTGTTGTTGTTGTAATAATAATTGTTGTTATTATTATTATTATTGTTATTATTATTATTATTATTATTATTATTATTATTATTATTATTATTATTATTATTATTATTATTATTATAACCCCGGGACGGTGCCATTGACTGAAGTGTCTTCAGGCCATTCCCAAAGGGGGATATTTCTCGTTCATGCACAGTAGAATTGTAAATGGGCTGATTCATCAATGTCATGCTCATAACTGTGTCTGATCTACAGCAGGGAACTGTTGCTTTTTCCTTCCTAATCTTTACTATTGTCATTTTCCTCTACTTCTTTTGTATGTTTATTACACTCTTGTGACCCTCTAATATCCGGGGTGTCTTGATAGTCGAAACAGACTCTGTGCTATTGAAGCTAGAGAGGTGAGCAGAGTAAGTCTGATTCCCAGTAAGGACTTTTCTGTTGACATCCACCCCTTGGAGCTCATATGACCTTATGCAGTTGCGAGAGCCGTAACACCTCTACTAAAGCAAACTCATTATTATTATTATTATTATTATTATTATTATTATTATTATTATTATTATTATTATTATTATTATTATTATTATTATTATTATTATTATTATTATTGTTGTTGTTGTTGTTGTTGTTGTTGTTGTTGTTGTTGTTGTTGTTGTTGCTGTTGTCGTTGTTGTTATTATAATTACTATTATAATTAGGCTACTATCATTATTATTACTATTTATTGTTATTGTTATTATTATTATTATTATTATTATTGTTGTTATTATTTTGATGATGATGATGATGATGATGATGATGATGATGATGATGATGATGATGATGATGATGATGAGATGTGATGATGATGAT